CCTTAGATGTGATGGACCTCCTTTAGCGCGAGGAAGCAGGACCTTGTTCACCAACTCAAAAAGCAACTAATAAACAGGAAGCTAAGATTTCTTATGCACTCGTTCCCCCCGCTGCACAACACTCTCATTAACTATAGCATGCCTAAAGTTTGAACTACAGACACTTCTAACAGAAGACAGACCTTCAGCAGGAACTTTAAGTATGTTTCCTAATACAGCGGAGTCTATAACAATGTCTATGCCATTTAACAGTGCGCAGATGTGATTAGATTCAACGGTAAAAAGGTCTGCATAGAAACTTTGAACCTCTTCCTCATATACCTTGGGCACATCCTCCTTGAATAGGTCCCCACAGTTGAAACTCAACCATCTCAAGCACTTGACGCATCCCAGCCATCTCAGATATCTCAGGGTCAAAAGTACGACCCCACAACACTTTCTGACACCTCAACCTTTCTTTATCAGATATACTTCCACTTCTTGCCTTCTTCACAGAACCGGGTTCTTTCACATCCTCCAATTTCCTTTTCACAGACTTTTCACTGGACTTAACTTTCCCACTAGATTTCACTTGCACATCCTCATCAGACACAGACTCTTCTACCACAACTTCCTTCAACTTGCCACTATCTTTTACTGACTTTTCACTAGGTATTCCAACAGTTTCTTTTGAAGTACTCTCAGTAGAGTGCTTATTTTTCTAAGACCTCTTGATCCAGGAACTTGGTTCCTCTGTGGCTTCCTCATCAACTTCCACAACTGGGATATTCTTGTCACAAACAATTTCACCATTCTTCACTAGCCTTTTCTTCTTCTTCCTGTTACTTCCTTACTCTTCTTTAGCGCAGACTCAAGAGCCTCCTTCTTCTACAACCTTGTGGTAGGTCGCTTAGGAGGGGCTCAGGAGTTGATACTGGCCTCCTTGCGGCAATAAACGCACTCAGAGCAACATCATCCTGATCTTCTTCATCACTGGACCTCATAACAGGAGCCACTACTTCCAAGGGCTCAGCATCAAAGTGAGGAGAAGGAGCAGGGTCGAAACTAACCTGGGAAGATGATTCCTGACCTGTTTCCTCAGGAGAGGGGTCAAGTCCAACAAGAGGGGTCCCAATAGTCTCTTCTGGTGTAGGCTGTTCAAAGAGCACCATTGCACCTTCTCCCACCAAAGACTGAGTCTCTTCCCCCTAAGACTCAGGCATAGTGGAATTGTCCTTCCCAATAATTCCCTCACCAGCAATAGCCAACATATTTTCTATGGCATCCCTCTCTTGAGGTTTCATAGGAGCAACAACAGAGGAGATAGGAGCACCTGTAGACTGATCAGAACTTTCCTTAGAACCCTTAGCACTTTCAGGACTAATCGATGAAGCTTTTTCTGCCGATGGAGACTTACTCTTTTCCTCTGGAACTGGAATGTCATCTTTACTCTCTTCTTTGAGTGACTCAGGCAACAAGGGAGAGATGCTTTCATTCTTAGGGTTGTAGTTCTCAACACTTAGAGGAGGAGTAGAGTCTAAGGGAGTAGAGAAAGGGATGGAGGGTGAAGGAGAAACTAGTTTAGGGTTTTCTATTTGAACAGTGGGGGAAGAAGGGATGAATGTGTTGTTTCTACAGGAGAAAACTCGAGGTTTTTCTCTTCAGTGGTAGGAGGGATTGTTTAATCCTCAACCATGGTAGAAGAATTTTGCTTGAAGGTTCTCGAGAGACTGAGGAAGACAGAGATGGTCGTTTAAGTTTTTTTTGGGAGTGAGAGGGTTATAATGAGGTGAAGGGCAATTATGAAGGAAAGAGAAACGGATTCTGAAACGGCGGTAGATGTGTGGGAAGATGCAACGTTTCAGAGGGAAGTGAAAGGATTTGAACGAAAATGCGTGACATATAGAGTCTGAAAAGGTTGATGACGTGGCATTATTTTTGTTTTCTTTTGAGATATGTATGAGAAAAGCAAAAGACTACTAACCTGTGTCCCAAGAATCAGGTTCCTGACCAGTCTTTAAAAAAATGCTCAACCTTCTTTTACCGCTCATGCATTGCCTCAGCTGCTTTTATAATCATCATGCGTGTCTACCTGTAACGGTATAGAAGTGAGTTAGACTTGGTCAGAAAACACTTCAGCTAATTTTACCTATATGTGATTTTCATAGCCATGTGGTAGGAATCAAGTTCTCAACTAGGCTTTATTAGCCCCAGTGCCAGCCTGTTTCTCTCAAAGTGCTCTCTGCTTAGGGTTTTGCTGAAGATATCTGCAATTTGGTCTTCTGTGCTGCAAAACTTCATACAGATAAGCCCATTTTCCACATTGTCTCTGAGTAAATGATGTCTCACATCAATGTGCTTGGTTCTTTTATGCTGGACTGGATTTTTCGCCATGTTGAGTGCACTTGTGTTATCACACAGAAGAGGTACACGGTCAGTGTACACTCCAAAGTCTTCCAACTGCCGTTTGATCCATAGAAGCTGAGCATAGCAGGAGGCTGCAGCAACATATTATGCTTCAGCTGTTGAGAGAGCTACTGAATTTTACTTTCTTGTGCCCCATGAGATAAGACATGATCCCAAGAAGTGAGGCATTCCAGATGTGCTTTCCCTGTCCACCAGATAACCTGCATAATTAGCATCAGCATACCCAATAAGATTGAAATTATCACCTGAAGGATAGTACAGAACAAGTCATGTGTTCCCTTAAGATATCTCAGGACTCTTTTGGCAGCCTTCAGATGAGATTCCTTGGGGTTTGACTGAAACCTTGCACATATTCCCACATTGAAAATAATATCTGGCCTGCTTGCAGTAAGATAGAGGAGAGATCCAATGATGCCTCTATACATTGTTTGATTCACAGAAGAGCCAGATTCGTCCATGTCTAGTCGAGTAGCAGTGGCAATGGGAGTGTCAATCACTTTTGATGCTACCATGTCAAACCTGTTCAAAAGCTCCTTGATATACTTTTGCTGACTAATGAATGATCCCTTTGTGGACTGCTTCACTTGAAGACCTAAGAAGAAATTCAACTCACCAATCATGCTCATCTCAAACTCACTAACCATGAGTTTTGCAAATTCCTCACATAATGAATCAGTTGTTTCCCCAAAACTGATATCGTCCACATATACCTGAACAATGAGCAGGTTCCTCCCTCATTTCTTCAGAAATAAAGTGTTGTCAATTTTTCCTCTTGCAAAACCATTTTCTAAGAGAAACTTTGACAACCTCTCATACCAAGCTCGAGGAGCCTGCTTCAACCCGTACAGTGCCTTGTCCAATTTGAACACATATTCAGGGTGTTCATGACATTCAAAACCTGGAGGTTGCTTTACATAGACTTCTGCCTTGAGGAAACCATTCAGAAATGCACTTTTTACATCCATTTGGAACAGAGTTAATTCCATATGTGATGCAAAAGCAATGAGCATTCTGATAGCTTCCATACGAGCAATCGGAGCAAAAGTCTCATCCTAATCAATTCCTTTCTCCTGATTGTAGCCTTGGACCACTAGCCTTGCCTTGTTCCTTGTAGTGTTTCCATGTTCATCAAGCTTATTCCTGAATACCCACCTGGTCCCTATGATGGTCCGATCTAAAGGTCTAGGTACCAGGTGCCATACTTTGTTCCTTTCGAATTGATGCAGCTCATCTTGCATGGTTGTGATCCAGTCTGCATCTTTTAAGGATTCCTTAATGTTTTTGGGCTCTATTTGGGAGAAAAAATGCTCTGAAGGCAAGTAAATTTCTGGCTTTTGATCTAGTTTGGACTCCTGAATCCAGAGGAGTAATTATGTTGTCGAGAGGATGGGAGCTTTTGTGTTTCTATTTGGTCACTTGAATTTCATTTGTGGAGGAGCTGGGTAAGCCTTATTGATTCCCTTGTATCCTTCTTTCTACTCCTGTGGAGTACTTTGAATTGCATCAACCACTCTTTCTTCAGCTTCAGTGGTTGTAATTGTAGTACCTGGTTCCTCTCCAGCTGATGACGAAGAGGTTGCATTGTCTTCACCTGTCTCCTTCACTTGACTCATCATATCTGCCTTTCCGTTTGCCATATGAATGACCTCTCCTGGAACCAGTAGAGGCTCTCCATCTTGATCATCCTTCTTGCTCTTCTCACAGGAGAGATAGGACTCGTCAAAGATTATATGTATACTCTCCTCAACATACTGAGTCCGCTTGTTGTATACCTTGTAGGCTTTACTTTGAGAAGAGTACCCCAGAAAAATTCCCTCACCACTCTTGGCATCAAATTTTTCAAGCTGATCCTTTCCATTGTTAAGAACATAACATTTGCACCCAAATGTTCTTAAGTGAGTCAACTTGGGCTTCCTTCCATTCAGCAACTCATAGGGAGTTTTGTTCAAGAGAGACCTGATCATGCACCTGTTCACCAAGTAGCAGGCAGTGTTTATAGCTTCAGCCCAGAAGTTCTTAGAAATCCCACTAATATTCAACATTGTTCTTGCCATTTCTTCAAGGGTTCTGTTCTTCCTTTCCACAACTCCATTTTGCTGTGGAGTTCTTGGGGCTGAGAAGTAATGGGTGATGCCATTCTCGTTGCAGAATTCATCGAACTTAGCATTGTCAAATTCTGTTCCATGATCTGATCTACCGCATGCTACTTTTGATTCCATCTTCAATTGAATTTTCTTCACAAAGGCTACAAAAACTTCAAAGGTCTCATCTTTTGTTCTAAGGAACAGAGTCCAAGTGAATCTGGAATAGTCATCTACTATCACAAAAATGTCACTACCACAAAAAAGGTCTTTGACGGCAATTATTTAGTGGCAATAAGGCAATTGCCGCTAATAGATTCTTTAGGCTAAAATATTAGCGGCACATGACCATTAGCCAGTAAAAGATATCCTTTTACTGACAATAAAAATAAATTGCCACTAAAAGTCACTAATTAAAATAGATTTTTTATTATTTTAACTTTCCCTCCGCACCCAAAAAAAATTCCCTCCAGTTATTTTGGACATTAAATAATGAACTATTCCCTTAAAAGTAAGAAAACCTATTCCCTTCATGAACGGGAAATGGAGACGGCTGGAAATAAAATCGAGCAGACACAATATAACAAAATCACGTAGACTTTCCGGCGAGATAGTCTTCTTTCCCAGGTAACTTCTCTTCTTACCCACCAAGTTTGATTTATTGGTACTACTCGAGTCTTTACAAAGTTGTTGCTGAGCTTTTTTGCATAGTTTCATCGATAGGTAGGTTGGTAGGCGCATGTTGTTTTATATTTTTCACAATTCTAGAATAGCTTTGTGATTTACTCTTTTGTCTTTTTCAATTCCAAAAGTTTCCTGAGTCTTTTAAGTTGTTTGGTTTCTTTTTCTGCTTTTCCAATTGAATGATCGAGAAAAGAAGTGAAAGGTGACTTTGAGTGGTCTTTGATCCAATATTCATCTTTTGTTATTTTGGTAATTGGATTTCTTGATTTTTCTACAGAATTTATGCAATTAAGATGATTGAGAACCTTTTTTTTTATCTATGCCCTTTTGTTGTTTTCCTCTGCTATCTATTTCTATCTGCATAGGTTAATTGTGACATTAATGAGTAAAAATAATTTTTTTGATTTGTTTTTCCTGTTCTTGATGTTGGTGATTTGAGGTGAATTAGAGGGGAGGATTATTGGATTAAGCGATTTTTTAGTGCTTGATACATAGATACATGCAGATTCTCACAAATAATTTGATCTTTTGCTTGTTGTGTTAATTTTCATGTAGAAGGAAAGTTGTCAATTCTTTGTATTTATTTTTCCTTTACTAGTAGTAGTAATCTAATGACAATTATGAGGTATCTTAAGTTTGTCGTTATTTGTTACTTTCAGTGTAAATAGGATCTCACGCGTAGAGCAACAATCTGGATAACTTAAAGGTTTTCCCTGTTATTATCGATTTACCACGCTACAAAATACAATTAGATGAAGTGAGCGATACGATTTTCTCTACATTCAGTCTGTTCTATTCAAGACGGAGCTCATCAAATTGAAACTATCTTCAGTTGGAAAGAAGTTCTTAACGTGTAAAGGTTGTTAAAATAAAGTTAGTTGCAGATTTTAGTTTCCTCTAAGTTAGCACCACACAGATCCAACTTGGGTAATAGCTTGATGTTACACTTGTAGCATATGGTTGGTTACTTGATTTTTCCTTTTTCTCAATAAGTACATCTTCAGCCATAAATCTTAGCAAAGATTGTGGACTACTACACTTAGCCTAAGGGCATGTATATTTAAGCTCCCTCTTCATTGCTCAGTCCCCCCCATCGAAGGCTTTTATTGTTCGTTGTCTGATCTTAGAGTGTTCAGGTTAGTATTATCTCTACACTCTATTTACTTCTTTTTGCTCTTCTTTCTGTTGTTTGGACCTAGGGTTATAAATTGGTTATTTGTCCCAATTGTGGTTATGGTCATTAAACCTAACTTCCTATATATAGCTTCTTTTACTCATATGATAAATCCAAAGTACAGTTTCAGTTTAGTTTGGTATATCTTTCTATATGCATTCAATAACTCCACATCAACTGTATAGGGCCACATTTTCTTTTAAATTTCGTTAAACAAAGGTCCAGAGAGTTGAAATATTGATGATTTCTCATGTGGAATTCAATAAAAGTGCAGTTCTTAGCAAACCGTAAAATATTGAATGGTCGAAATCGAAAAGGTAACCATGATGTCGAATGAAGAGACATCTTAATTTAGTGCATTTGCATAAACCTTATAGTTATTCTTATCCAACAGTACTCGATCAAAAGATATATTAGGATATAAAAGGCAAGCCCTTCACACTTTTTTTCTGCAATGTTGTAGAGTTGCTAATGGTATATATGTTGAAGTGATAATTTAGGATATTTATTTGGGGATTCAAAGCAAGCATTAATATTTTGGAGATCCTCCTTAACGAGGAATTGGAAAATAGTTTGAGTCCATGCTACCTTGGTACACCTGAGCCGCTTCATTTGTTAAAAACTTTTTTTTTACTTAAGAGATATGTGACATAATAAAAAAGGTAATATAGGAACTCTATTTTGAAGAGGAGCCATACTGTGGACACTAGGAAGCTTGGTAAACGAAAGAATTGCTAACATGTTTGTCATATTGCGTACCTTAGCCTATGGAAATGCAAAATTTGCCTTACTGGTTCGTTGCTTCCGGCATGATTGCAGGGAAGCAGATGAGCATTTGCTTTTGTGTACTTGAACTTCTAAAGCTAATTAAATAAAACTATGATTAACCAGCACTTTATCAACATGTTTAATCTGTGTTAATATATACGAATTTCACTTTAATGAAGTCATTCGGATTATTCATTGGAGGGCCTTAGGAGAGGTAGAGGTAGGCCGAAGAAGAGTTGGGGTGAGGTGATTAGGCATGACATGGTGTAGCTACAGCTAACCAAGGACATGACCGGTGATAGGAAGGTGTGGAGGTCGAAGATTAGGATAATAGGTTAGGTAGTCTTGATTATTCATACTGGGAGTGTTAGTACGTACTCTCGCATTTGGTTGGTAGTAGATTTATTTGAATAACCGTCGTTTTTTTTACATTTCGATCATCTTACTATCTTGTGGTGTATGTTGCTTTTACATGGTTTTTCAGTGTTGTCCCGTCTTGTTTTCTTAATATTATTGTGGCACCTATGCTTGCTTGAGCTGAGGGTCTATTGGAAACAACCTTTCTACCTCCAAAAAGGTAAGGGTAAAGTCTGCGTACAAACTACCAAGTCGCATACGGAGGGATTAATGGAGTGGCCTTGGCTCTTACTGGCATTCGGATAAAGCTAAGGTATCAAAAAAATTTTAAAACACCTCTAATTGATTATTGATAGAAACTAAGCGTTCACCAGACTGTATAGAGAACCAGATTCCCTATCAGTTCCCACTGTAAGCAACAGACTATAAAACCAACCAGTATAGGGAATCAGGTTCTCTAATTGTTCCCATAGTAACTCGGCAGTAAATAAAGAACACAGAGCATTTTTACGTGGAAAAGTTCCAACTCAAGGGGACAAAAACCACGACCTACACTTGTAGGCTTTCAATTTCACTAACTTGTAAACACACTATTACAAGCCACTTTATAATGACTCTATTACAAAGACTTCAACTCAACTAACTTGTGATACACTTACCACAAGCCACTTTGTCACTCACTAGTTACAAAGACTTCAACTCAACTAACTTGTGATGCACTTACCACAAGCCACTTTGTCACTCACTAGTTACAAAGACTTCAACTTATGACTAACTCTAGTCACAACACAAATTCAGAAAATTTATGGTTTTGCAAAGGGGTTCCTACACAATGCTTCTAACTAAGCTAAGTAGGAGTTACAAATGAAGAACAAATAACAAAGACTCAACAAACCTAAGGACTTAAGATATCTTCAATCATTGGATCTTGTCCTTGAGGTTGCAGCAGCTTTGTTCTTGAGAGAGGTTGTGGCTAGCACTTGAGAGAATATTTTCTTTTGATTTTGCAAGTGTTAGAGAGATGAAATCCCTTGCCTCATGTTGATACTATGTGTATGTGATGTCATCAAGGATGATGCAATAAAGTGCCCTTTAGTTTGGCCTTAGCAAGCTACAACTGTGTTGCTGTACTGCTGCCAGACGGTACAGTGCAACAGTCTGCCAGACGGTACAGTGCAACAGCTTTTATAGATGTAGAGTTGACTGTACAACAACGAGGGAAACTGATCCGTATTTGGTCTCTCTGCTGTTTCCTTATCTGATTTCATTGAGAATTGGACCAGATATCTGACTAGTTATTCGGAATGCAAGGGAACTTAATTGTATCAGATTCCTTATCTTGTTCTCTCATGAAGTAAGTTGTTTTACCTTCCTTGATTGTATTTATACATGTGTGACATAACTTACAATGATGTAAGCAAGGTAGGTAAAAAGCCTTCCATAGAAAGTTGACTGCTGCACTGTTCCTGTACAGTAGCGTGTACAGGCAACAACTTTCCAGCTGGAGAGTTGACTTCATACAGTCTCCTCGGGAACCGGTAGGGACCTGTTCCCTCAGCTGTTCCTTTCACTCTGAAGAGTTGTGTTATATCCTATGCTGGATCCCAACCTGGAACTTTGTGATCTTAAGGTCTTGTAAATGTGTAACAGGTTTCTTATCTGGTTCTGGATGGTAATTTTGTTAGATCATCAAAACATAGAGTAAAGTACTTATGCCCAAAGTACATGTAACCTATCAATTTCCCCCTTTTTGATGATGACAAACTTAGAATTGATATTCCCCCTAAGAATCGGATCTCCACATTGTTTCCCCTACGAATTAGCCATATCCCTCCTAAGAACCAAACCTAAGGAACTGATCACAACTGGTTCCTCAAGACTGTTTGGCAAATCATCAAAACTCAAAATACCATAGCTTATCAATTTCCCCCCTTTTTGATGATGACAAACCCAGAATTAATATCCCCCCCTGAGAATTAGGTTCCTTACATCTACTGTCACATCTAGTCCGTACCCAGTTCCTTGAGAACGTTTGTCATCATCAAAACATGACATAGCGTAACTTAGAGCAATTTCTCCCTTTTTGATGATGACAAACCCAAAATTAATATAACACTTGAGAACCAGATTCCTCACATGTTTCCCTGCAGATCAGACCTATAATCAACATATTATCAGTAACGTTCCCCCCTGCGAAGCAGAGCTATCTTTCATACACAACACAACATATCAATTCGATTTGGTTCCTCCCCCATGTTGACACCTATATACCTTCCCCTTTTTGGCATCATCGAAAAGAATAAATGAAGAAGCACAGCCAAAAAGAAGTTCAGCAACATTAACTTATGCCACTTAGGCAACACAGCATAAACAATAACAAGAACAACAAGTGAATGCCATTGTACAAAATGGAGTGAATGCCCATAGTAGAGTAATTATAAGAAAAGCACAGTAGGTTCAACAATACATAATATGACAATTTAAACAAATAAAGTACCAATGTCATCAAATATAGGAATCAAAAGAAGATAAGAATTCAAGAGAATTTGGAAGGAGTGAAAGACATGGATCACTGGGCAGGAGGAAAAGTAATGGGCTAAGGCCTTGATGAGCTTGTCCATTCGTTCATTCACTCTTCTTTGAT